AGAATTTCTTTTCTGAAGCTGAATAATATTCATTGTATAATAATTTCCTTACTATCTGAATAATGTTCCATTATATATATAGATCACACATTCTAAAAATTCATTCATCCCTTGCTAGATACTTTTTGGCTATTGTGAATAATACTGCTATGAAGATGGATAGTCAAATATCTGTTCAAGTTACTCCTTTCAATTTGGGATATGCAGAGAATTGGAGGTGGTGGTCATATGCCAATTCTATGTTTAATTTATATTTTGAAGAATCTCCATACTATTTTCTCCAGTGGATTTACCATTTTTTTCCTAGTAATTCACATACCAGTAATTCACAAATTTCAATTTTTCCACATCCCTACCAATGCTTGTTATTTTTTGCTTTCTTTTTGTAATGGTCCTTCTGTTACGTATGAAATAGTATCTCATTATGGGTTTGATTTGCTTTTACCTAGTTTTTAGTAATATTGAACATCTTTTCATGTGCTTATTGGCCGTTTGTGTTTTATCCTCAAAGAAATGTATAAACATGTATAGCAAGTTCTCTGCCCCTTTCCCCTTTGCTTTTAACCATCCATAAGAATTTTTTAAAAAAAATTTGTTTTTAAAAAATTCAAATTCATTATCTAGAAAAGATTAACAGTTTTATTTATTATTTTTATAAAGCTAAACTGCTAAAACATTGAAATATTTTTGACTTGCATTAATGTTTTATGTTCCCACATTTATATTAATAATTCACACACAAAGAAAAATGGAGAAATTGCTAATACCTGATTTCTGTCACCTACTTTTCCACTTAAAATCATATACTTAGTTATTTTTTGACCCATGGGAAAAAATAACTAATGTTTTGAACTACCAATAACAGAAGAGAAAAAAAATTTTTGAGAGTGAAATGTTTTTCATCATAGTAGATCCATGTAGGTAATATGCTTAGCTGGATGTCTTTTCACATAATTGTTAAACATTTGGCATGAATTACACAGGTTTATGTCTTCATAAAGGCAAACCATGTAGAACTCATTTGTTTCAGTCTCTTTGGGGTTCTTTGAGACTTCATATGAATCTTGGGATGGAATTTTTTATTTCTGCAAAAAAAAAAGTTGCTGAGGCTGGCTTTGAACTAGTGATCCTCCTACCTCAGCCTCCCGAGCCATTGGGATTATAGGCATGCATTACCACACCAAGCTGTCATTGGGATTTTGATAGGCATAGCATAGAATTTGGAAATCCCCATGGATGATTGTTTATTTATTTATTTATTTATTGATTGATTGATTGATTGGGGGACATGGTCTTGTAAGTTCCTGAGGAAGATCTTGAACTTGGGATCCTCCTGACTCAGCCTCCAGAGTTGCTGAGATTACAGACATACCCTACCATATTGGTATGTTGATATCTTAATATTAAAAATAAGTCTTACAGTCCATGAATATGGGGTGTCTTTCCATTTATTGGTGCTTTTTTTCCAGCAATATTTTGTAGTTTCACTGCATAATTCTTTTGTCTTGATTTATTCCTAAGTACTTCATCCTCCTTAATGTTATTTTATTTTTTGTTATTGCTGTTATTATTCAGCATTTTATTCATGTTACAGAAATCTTTTAGGAGAAAAATGTCATGCAAATGGGCTAAAAAGTCTAAAGGAAATTAATCCACTTTATTCCATTTAAAATCTTTAAAAATATGGAAATTACTGTTACAAATAATCCAAACTCTTCAAAAAGCCGCTTTTAGACTCTTTCTTCCATCCTCCTCACATTACAGTTGTTTCAGTCCAGGCCAGGACTCTTTCTGTACCTACATATTCCATTTAAATCACATTTCTGAGTCTACTTGGGGAAAAAAAACCAAACAAGCTACTGTTTGAAGGCATTTTCAGAAGTCTCTTACTGAAGCTGTTGGTGCATGGGCAGAGCAATCTGAGGAGGGACATTAATGAATCTTTCACTTAGGAGAAAGCCCACAGGCTTGGTGGTGTCATTTAAAAGCTTGTCCATCTGTTCAACCACCCTCTTTTCACAGTTCTTCTCACAGAAGCTTAGAACCAACTCTTTAATTTGTTCAGCACACTGGGTATCCTTTCTTTCAATTAAATTTAAAAGGCTTATAAAACCAAAAATTTCATTTTCATCTGCATCATCATCATTGCTGTCTTCTGAAACATTTGTTTGCTTAATCACACTTCCAATATGGTTCTGTTGAATTAAGAGATCTGTTAGTTCTGCAGTGTTCTCAGGAGCCTTTGGGAAAAGCTGCTGCAGTAATTTCTTAATTCCGTCATAATTATTATGTGAGATGGAATAAGCTTTAAATTCAATATTCACTTCCTCGTCAAGGACCTTGTCGTCTTCATCCTCTTCTTCGACATTATCCTCATCGTCTTCGTCTTCATCCTCGACTAAGGCCTCGTTTGGCCCCAGATGCCATGCTGCCCTCCTTGATGTTATTTTAAATGGGATTATTTTTTTAAATTTTCATTTTGGGTTTTTATTGTTAGTGTATAGAAATTCAATAGATTTTTGTGTGTTGATTTTGATCCTGCTTCTTTGTGGCTTTTTGTTTTGTTTTTGGTTACTGGGGATTGAATCCAGGGGCACTCAAACAGCGAGCCACATCCCTAGTCCTTTTTTGTATTTTATTTGGAGATGGGTCTTGCTGAGTTGCTTAGGGCCTCACTAAATTGCTGAGGCTGGCTTTGAACTCACTGTCCTCCTGCCTCACCATCTCTCGAGCTGCTGGGATTACAGGTTTGTGCCACTGCATCCAGCCGCTGTTTTTTTATATTATAGATCCACTAGGGTTTTTTTTTTTTTTTGTGTGTGTGTGTGTGGAATCTTTATGATTTTCTACACATATCCTGTTACCCACAAATAGGTAATTTTATTTCTCCCCTTTTGGATAGCTTTTGTTGTTTTTTCGTGTGTGTGTGTGTGTGTGTGTGTGTGTGTGAGAGAGAGAGAGAGAGAGAGAGAGAGAGAGAGAGAGAGAGATGAGAGATACATACATACATACTACCACTGAGTTACATCTTATCCATTTTATTTTTTGTGACAGGATACCAATCTCACACATGAGCTTTAAATTTGTAATCCCCTACCTCAACCTCCTGAGTTGTTAGGATTTCAGGTGTGTGCCATTGCACCTGGCCCTTTTATTCTTTTTCTTACCTAATTGTTCTGGGTAGAATTTCTAATACTCTATTGAAAAAAGAGAGTGTAGTAGATATCTTGTCTTGTTCCTAATCTTATAAGAAAAGGTTTCAGTCTTTGACTACTGAGTATGATGTTAGCTATGGGTTTTTCGCATAGTCTTTATTTTCACGTATTTTTCTTCTGTTAATTTGTTGAGTGTTTTAATCATGAAAGGTTAATTTTGTCAAATGCTTTTTTCTTCATCACTTCTTATGGTCATGTGATTATTTTTCACCTTTATTCTGTTAATGTGGTAAAACATTGATTTTTGCATGCTGAACCTTTTTGAATCCCAGGAACAAATCCTACTTAGTCATTGTGATGATCCTTTTTTTTTTTTTGGTGGTGTTGGGGCTTGAACCCAGGGCCTTATACATGAGAGGCAAACACTCTACCAACTGAGCTATATCCCCAGCCCATGGTAATCCTTTTATTATGTTGCTGAGTTTTGTTTGCTTTTATTTTGTTGAGGATTTTCTTTTTTTCTTGGGTACCAGGGATTGAACTCATGTGCTCTTGACCACTGAGCCACATCCCCAGTTGTATTTTATTTAGAAACAGGGTTTCACTGAGTTGTTTAGTGCCTCGCTTTTGCTGAGGCAGGCTTTGAACTAGCGATCCTCCTGCCTCAGCCTTCGAGCCACTGCGATTACCGGTGTGTGCCACTGTGCCTGGCTTGTTGAGGACTTTGTATTGTGATATTCAGAAGGGATATCGATAATTTTCTTCTACTGTCATCTGGTTTTGGTATCAAAGTGGTGTGGGCCTTACAGAGTATGTTAGAAACTGTTCACTCCTCTTCATTTTTTTGGGAGTAGTTTGAGAAAGATTGATGTTGATTCTTTAAATGGTAGAATTTATCAATGAAGTTATATGGTCCAGGGCTTTTCTTTTATTAGGAAGTTCTCAATTAACTGATTCAATTTCCTGTCTAAGAATACATTAGTCAAATTTTCTATTTCTTTATGATTCACTTTGGTATTTTTATTTCCAGGAATCTGTCCTTTCCACCTAAGTTATTCATTGTATTGCAAAGGTTATTTTTAGAACCATATTTTCTAGGTGATATTTAGAGGAGGCATAGAGTGCATTGTAGTTGTATACCTTACATTATCATTGTTCTTTTGTATATCATTTTTGCTTTGTGATTCTACCAATAACCCTTTGAATAAACAATACAGCTGTTAGTCCTATGTTATTGATGAATCTGAAGCTCCGTGATACTCAGGTGACATAGCTATACAAACCATAGAACTTTAAACTTAAATCTTCTTGATGGGAATATGCAGAAAATATAAAAGTTGTTCTCAGAAGTGAAGGAGCTTTTTAGAATTTGGGAAATGTGATATTTGGGGGTTTATCACAATGGAGCAGTTTTTTAAAATAGGTTGAAAAATACCATGGCATCATCTTTCATTCTTGAGCTTCCTTATTTTTAGTTATTTAAAAATGGTAAATATTTTTATTACTATCTAAAGTATTTGTAGAAAAATATCACGCAAAAATATTAGGTTAAAAATGTGAATCTTCAACTTAGGTGTTCAGAACAGTACATTTCCTTTAATAAATGATTTGTTTAAGTATAGTACTGCAAAGGTTTTCAATGTCTGAGGATTATAGCTATATTTTCAGTTAAAATTCTAAGATCATTTGTTAAAGCTCTGAAAATTTGAGTTATTTATTTGCTCATTGATCAAGAATATTGTCCTTTGCCCAACATAATTTTATTACTACTATTTTCAGTTTCTTATTTTTCTGTGGCTTTATATTACAGTTTATAACACTAAAGAATTATTGTTTATATTTCAGGTTCCTAGAAGCCAAACAAAACTGGCAATAATGCTTGAAAAATTAGGAATGGATTATGATGGACGACCTCATAGTGGTCTTGATGACTCTAAGAACATTGCACGAATAGCAGTGCGAATGCTTCAAGATGGATGTGAACTCCGAATCAATGAGAAAATGCATTCAGGACAACTAATGAGTGTGTCCTCTTCCTTACCAATAGAGGGCACTCCAGCTCCACAAATGCCACATTTTAGAAAGTAATAGCATTTTGTCTGGGGAACATTCTAACTGGAGTTACTACAAAAGAGGTAGCAGATGGATGCTCATTGACTGCAGTACAAACTTCAAGCACCTTAAACATGAAAAATCTTTGTTACAATTATATGTATATATATTATGTATGTGAACAGATTTTGTGGGAGGGCATATTGAATTCTTTCTCACCAGCACTTTTGATATGAGCAGTATTTGTTACACAGTAATGTCCTGCTTATAACTAAATTTTTTAAATTGTCCAAGATTTTAAGGTGTCCAAGATGTACTCTTTTTGATTTTAAAATGCAAAATTTTATTGACTCTTCCCTTAAATGTCATATTTTATTGATGTTGAGATATAGAATGTACTTCTGATTTAACATCATTTCATTAAATCATTCTTAAAATGCCAAAAAAAAAAATTGAAAGGTAGGCCTATGTTAACCTTTGGGTTTTATAAATATAGTCCTCTTGACTTTTGAAGTTTATATATGAAGTTCAGCTACAGTCCTCTCTCAGTACTCTTGGGTTTAGTTCCAGGACCCGGTGTGGATACCTCAAGTCACTTACATAAAACGGCATAGTATTTACATATAACCTACATAATCCTCCCATATATTTTAAATCATCTCTCATTTATCATACCTAATAAATATAACTACTATATAAATAGTTGCTGTACTGTATTGTTTAGGGAATAATGACAAGGAAAAAAGTTATATTCTGATACAAACAGTGTAGACTAACCTACACAGTATAGGAACAAGATTTGGGACCAGCAGTGACCAAACAACATGTGCTGGAGAGAAACTAAGCATCTGTGGAGTGGCAGGCTGCAGCAGGGTGTGCTCACACATCACTTTTTTTTTTTTGTGAAGCTTCAGCGTAGTGCTGGGCATGTGGAAAATTCAAGTTTTGCTTTTTGGAAAATTTCCCCCAAAATGTCTTCAGTCTATTGTTGGTTGAATCTATAGATGTGGATCCCAGACTGGATATATGGCGAGTTTTGTAAAAATATTTGGTGTACATATCTGTTTTTTTTTTACTTAATTGCAAAACTTGAGATGGATTATAGGATTAAAAATTAAGTTACTAAAGAGATTAATGAAAAGTAAAAAATGAATACTATTTCATAGGGCTGTTGCTCAAACTTTATAAAATAGTGAGTTCTTTTGGATTTGATTGATTAGTTTCCTTCCCTCTTATGACATATTTGCCCTAATTCTTAAATCTAAGATGCCACACTTAGAAGTAGCCATTTAATATTACATTTGTATTTAGTTTTATAAATAACGTTTCCTACCATATCTTATGCTTTTATTTTTAAAACCTCCATTGGCCACTAGTGTTGTTTAGTTAGTCAATATATTCTTGATTGTCAGACTTCACTTAATATATGACCACTAGATATTGAGTAGTTCTTAATTCTAAAAACAAAGATGGCTTTTGGATTAGTAAAGTTGATAAAATAAGACTCTTATTGGAGACTAAAATATGTATTTTTAAGAATTAAATTTCCTGTGGTTTTCTCATGGACATTGCTTGCTTTTCTTTTACCTTGTAATACTTGTGATTCTACTTTAGTGATTTGTGTATTGTAATCAAATGAATTAGCAAAGATTTCCTGACACTGATGTATAGAAGAAAAGTATGAAAGTAGATACTTTCTTGGCATGAGAATTTTCCACACAGGGTTGTGGTTTTCTTATTTGACCCAATGAAGTTCTGCCTTTGAGCAATAATGATGTAATAATGAACAATATTGTGTAGGTAACATAAGGCACAGAGAATGAATGTCGTTAGATAAAACTTATAGATTATAGTAAAACAGTGAATCCAGGAGTTTTAAATTTACAGTAAAAACAGTGAATCCAGAAATTTTAAGTTTACAGTAAACACTCGGAGTGAGAGGGATATATAAAGTATCCTAACAGTTTTAAATAATTTCCTCCAAATTCTTACTGTGCCAGGAAAAAGGAGTAGAATATAGCAAGTCATTGTTGAGTTGATTCTGGATGCCAGGAAGCCTACTAGACATATTCCTTAGGTAATTCTTCTACATAGCCACTTTACTAGAGGATCAAATACATGCCCTAGTAAAACTAATTGCTTCCCACCTACTTCCATAATTGCTTAGGAATAGATGAAACTACAGTTAGAAAATCTTAGAATGGCAAGGAAATATTAATTGCCCTTTTACTTTTTTTTATCAAGTTGTTTATTTATTCTTGCCAAGTACCCAAGTACTGAAAAACTCATTTCTTTTGAAGAACTTCACTATTATAAATTCTCAGTACCCTTTTGGCTCAACCAAATATTTTACTGTTTAATTTCTTTTTTAAAAAAATGTATTAGTGCATTATAGTTGTACATAATAGTGGGTTTCATTTTGATATTCATAAATGCATAGAATATAGTTTATTCCACCTCAATCCTCATTATTTGCTGTTTCCCTTCCCTCCAACCTCCCCAATCGTGTTCTCTTTATTTATTTTTAATTGGTACATTATAGTTATATAAAATTGGAATGCATTGTAATATATTCATACCTGCACATAACAGTTTGACCTCATTTCCGTTTTTTTTAACTACTGCTGAGTCTTTGCTCCCTCCCCTTCAATATGATTTAAGATTCTGAGATGAATCAGGTCTGTTCTAATGAAATGATCTTAAACATTAGGAGTACTGCTTTTTTGCTTTTTGATTATTGTTGTGTTGTGTTATCTTTAAGGTATAGAGTACAGATAATTCTTATAAGGAAAACACTTAAGAGATTAATGCCATTTTAGTATCTCAGTCAAGATAATACTTGCTGATACTTTCTTGTTAATGTCAATATTATGAACATTAATATTCTTTGCAAACAATCCTTTTTATTAATCATTAGTTATGCTAATTTTCTTGTTTTTTATGTTTCACTTGCTCTGACTCAATGACATTGGATTTGTGCTTTATTTTTTCAAATTCAGTTGTTAGAACCAACTGAAGTATATACTGGAGCACTGTATTTTGCCTAGTTTTTGTGTTTTTTAGATAAAATACTTAACATTTTGCTCTGAAAAATAATTTTTTTTTACTAGATCAGGCAGAAGAAAAAAAATTTTTTTTTTTTTTAATGTGTCTTTTCTGCTTTAAGAAAGACCTGTTTGTCCTGCCTGGTAGGGATAGGTTTCTTTAACCTGGATTGAAATTAAAACCACAGGAGTTACTAACATGTAAGGAAGATGCCATCTCTTGAGATTAGTTTATTTCTGTGTATATTTTTAACAAATGGGACCAGTTGACCTTTTATAGATCATCCTGAATATCATCTCCCAAATGATAGTGCTAAGCAGTAATTTGGAGGAGAGGGGAAGAACTGGTAGTAAAATTCCTGGGGAGGGGAGGAAGGGTGAGTGGTCAATATAAATAATGCATGTTTGGCCTAAGCTATAGGTGGAAGCAATCAAGAAACCACTTGTCTCATGGATGAATGCGTGCGTGCGTGCGTGTGTGTGTGTGTGTGTGTGTGTGTGAAAAATCTGAGAAGAATATACTGTGCTTGGAAGGAAGACCTATTTCTATGCTTCTGTAGAGAAGTATAAGCTACTTGAAGGCAGTGACTACAACTTGTAACATTTTTGATTCCAACAATATATAATAAAATGTTTTGTATAGTTGAGTGTGGTTTTGATAATAATTGAAATTAAGTCTTTATTTTCTAGTATATTTAGCTTTCTCTTTCTTTTGTACCACCAACCTATATTTCAGATCTCCCTGCTCCCATTAAACTTCCCAAGAATAGATTTGTGAATATAGAGCAAGGATTGGAGAACTCATCTGTGAGCCAGATCTGGCCTGTTGTCTGTTTTTTTTTTTTTTAATGGCATAGAAACTATGGTTTTTGAATTTTTAATGAAATCAAAAGAATACGTAGCATGAAAATATGAAATTAAATTTCACTTTTGTACGTAAAGTTTCATTGGAACAGAACTACCATTCTCATTTGTTTGCATGTTATTTGGGGCTGTTTTTATGGTACAGTGGCAAAGTTGAATTGTTACTACTAAAATCATCAGGCCAGCAAGGCTTAGACTATTACTTTTAGACCTCTACAGAAAAAGTTTGCTTATCCCTACCTTTCTGATCTCGAGCAATATATAAGTTCCATCAATTAGTAAGAAATTGGTAGGATAATCTATAGAGCAGAATGTTGAGCTATGATAATATTTATTGAACACTCAGTTTCAAACTCAGTCTGACTGGTGCTTCTGTGCTTTACCCCTATACTAGGCTACCTCCTCTGATAGACATTAGCTCATTTGATAATTTAAGAACAGATGGGTTGTGTCACATAATACAAACATCTTCCTGTTGCTAAACATTTGCAGTGTTTGTATTAAATATTACATTAGGAAATAATTTGATGTTCATTCTTTGTATGGAATGTAAAATAACTGTTCACATCAGATGTAATAGGCTCTGAAGCTTTTGGAGGATGGGAATAGGTGGGAAAGAAAATGGATTTTAAAAATTTTTCCAGTGTATGTAGGGTTAGAAATGTTATTGTGAGTCAATAATGGGACAGAAGCAAAAAAGATTTCAGTTGCAGTGTAGTAATACCTATATAGTATCTTTGGGAGATTGATTCCAGGAGTATTACAGATAAACAACTGAGTATGCTACTACAGTCTTTTGTATTAATGGTGTACTATCTGCATAAAAGCTGTTTGCATCCTCTCGTAAACTTTAAATCTTCTCTAGATTACTTTATAGTAAATACCTAAGGTAAATGCTATAAGTTCAGTACAGATGCAATTTTCACTAATTTCAGTCTGGTTGAATTCTACAGATGTGGAACCCAACTAGTTGTTTTCCTGGATTCTATATTAAGATAGGTGAGGGACTAATGATTCTGAGGCTTTAGACATGATTTGCTTTTGTACTTCCAAATGTCTGTTCTCCAGATAAATTCTTTCAGTTTTTCTGGAGTGAATAGTGATTGATCATTGTAGTGTCATGTATAATAGTATGATCAATAACAGTCTTAGACTGTAACTCCTTTCCTATTTAATTGAGCGAAGAGAACAAAATAGCATATGATTTTTCTCCATTCTAGTATATTGAGTTGCAACATAGCTAGTTATGGCAGAGGTCACACAGATTGAACTTTTCCCTTCAAATGTCTATTTTTACTTGCTGAATGTGTTCCTTTGAATAGAAATCTGTTTTCCCTTTGGTTTTGGTTTTGTAAATGGGACCATGACTATCACAATTACATAGGCTTGAAACCTTGGAATTATTCATGGTCCTCTCTCCCCAAGTTAGCATAATGTCCATTGATTATTTTTCAGTCATATTATCCTTGCATCAGTACTTATATCTTAGATACCCCAGACTTTTGCTAAAATTTAGTTGGCTGTTCTCTGCTATTGTCTTAATTTTTCTCACCCATTGTCTGTCTTAGTTCACTTTATGATGCTATAACAGAATACCATGGACTGGGTAAATTATGAAGAACAGAGATTGATCTCTCCAATTTTGGAAACTGGAAAGTTCAGTATAAAGGGGGTAATATCTGGCACCGGCCCTTTTGCAGCAACATAGCACGGGAGAGGGCATCCTATGGCAAGAGAATGTAACAATGTGCCAGCTTAGGTCTACTCCTGTTAGAAAGGCATTCATTCTGTGACCACCCATGGAATTCCCTGAGTCCCCATTACCTCATGTAACTGTAAGTACCTCCCAAAGACCCCACTCCAAATATCATCTGCATATTCGGAGGTTAAGTTTCCAGCACATGAATTTGGGTGGACACATTTAAACCATAGCACTCTCTTCCTATGTGCTCCAGTCATAGATCTTCCTAAAATGTTTTGCACATTGATCTCAGAAACTCATTTCTCACAGAATAAAAACCAACAACACTCCCTTGGCTTTTAAGACCCTCCACACTGTGGTTTCTTATTATTTTCCAACTTTTACAGTTGCTGTCAGTTGTGAACTAATCACATTCTCTTAACCATCACATGTGCATACACCTACCCCATTCTACTTCTGTGTCCAGGAAGTGAGTCCAGCAAGCTTGTTCTCTTGATTCCAATTTTTAAAAGTTCTGCTTTGATTCTAGTCTTTTCTTCCCAGAGTACCCTGTCCTTTGGCAACATATCCATTACTCCTTGTACTTTTGATGAACTTATTGGGTTCATAATTTCTGCTACAGAGATTAAAATTTTCTGGGATCTTTTTTTCTCCTCCCAATAATAATGCTAATTCTTCAAGCATGTTCTTACATGTTGTATCCCCAGAACCTAACATATGAGGTGTTGAATGAAAACTAGTGATGGTAAAATATATTTCATAATGTCAATACTTTTCCAAATGTTTTATAAAGTAGAAAGCATATGTCTTGACCATACATTTTTAGAAGCTCCAACTGAGGAATAGAAATCTTGAATCCCTGTCTGTGCATGACTTTCCCTCTAGGTGCCAGAAAAGGCAAACAAATGTTCAGCTCTCCTTCCTAGTTGTTCAGTCTGTGTGCTCCACATTTTCATTGCAAGTTCCCCACAAGATTTTGTCTAAATGAAATATGGGGAAAACCATTGTAATGCCTTTGTGGAACCTGTAAAAATCAAGTGGTGAAAATGTGGTGTCATTTTGCAAATATAACTTTTTAAAAAAAGTGTGTTTTAGTTTGTACTATCACACAAAAGGACAAAAGTAAGGGTAGCAAAACTTGTACAAACTGACCATTTACACTTAGAAAGTCCCAAGGCAGTCACTTTGTGGTCACCATCAACCCCTGCTATCCCCAGAGAAGCCTAGAGCTTTCAGCTCCTGTGTTTGAGATGGGGCACTGGACCAGAAGACAGGGGCCAGTTCCATTAGATTCAGTTGTGTTTCTCCTGGAGGTTGCTGTCAGAGGATTTTCAAATATATTTTTATTCCTGAAAGTCATTTTGATCATTCTACCATACATCTATGCAGGAAAAGTACATACATCAAAAATTTTAAATTTCCCTTCTATTTTGTTATTAAAATTGTTGTAAGTAACAGATTGAAATATAAATATGTTAACCCTTTTGATACTTGTTAAATGAAATGTAAAAGTTTTGGAAATACTTTAATGCTGTTTTTTCTTCCAATTAAGTTATATAACCTCTGATAAATATGACATTGCTAGAATGAAAGAGAGTTGAGTGTCAATTCTTCTGTTCTTTATTTCTTTTATAAAAGCTGAAAGTATCCCCTACATGAAGAGGAATGGAAGTAATTTACTAAAGCAGTTAGTTCTTTAAATTCCATGCCAAAGGTCACACTGTGATTTGTCTTAAAAATGATTTTTTTCTTAAATAATCCTTCAGCTCACAACACAATTAGGTTTCTGATCATTTTTGTTGTTGTTGAATACATATTGGAAGTCTGACATTTATTTATTTCTTTATTAGTTGTTCAAAACATTACAAAGCTCTTGACATATCATATTTCATATATTTGATTCAAACGGATTATGAACTCCCATTTTTACCCCGTATACATATTGCAGATTCACATAGGTTACACATCCACTTTTTTGCATACTGCCATACTAATGTATGTTGTATTCTGCTGCCTTTCCTATCTTCTACTATCCCCCCTCCCCTCCCTTTCCCTCCACTTCCATCTTCTCTCTCTACCCCATCTACTGTAATTCATTTCTCTCTCTTGTTTTTTTCCCCTTTCCCCTCACTTCCTCTTATATGTAATTTTGTATAACAATGAGGGTCTTCTTCCTTTAGCATGCAATTTCCCTTCTCTCTTTCCCTCCCCCCTCTCGTCCCTGTTTAATGGTGATCTTCGTCTCATGCTTTTCCTCCCTATTCTGTTCTTAGTTGCTCTCCTTATATCAAAGATGACATTTGGCATTTGTTTTTTAGGGATTGGCTAGCTTCACTTAGCATAATCTGCTCTAGTGCCATCCATTTCCCTGCAAATTCCATGATTTTGTCATTTTTATTGCAGAGTGATACTCCGTTGTATATAAATGCCACATTTTCTTTATCCATTCATCTATTGAAGGGCATCTGGGTTGGTTCCACAGTCTAGCTATTGTGAATTGTGCTGCTATGAACATCGTTGTAGCAGTATCCCTATGGAAGTCTGACATTTAAAGGTGTTAACAAATTTAGAATTATTCATTCTCACATCTGGGGATGCACACTTACTGGGCTTTGCCAAGACCATCTAGTAGTGATTAGTAATTGGATCTGTTACTTTTTTAACTTAAAAAAACTGGACTGATTTTGTCAGGAAAAGTCTTGATTTGAAAATTCAAATACTATGTTCATGAAATTTTTTCTTTTTCTTGTTCTAATTAGTTTTACATGATAGTAGGTGCATTTTAACACATCATACATAAATGGAGTACAACTTCTCATCTGGATGTACATGTTGTAGAATCATACCGGTCATGTAATCATATATATATACACACACACACACACACACACACACACACACAGTAATACTGTCTGTTTTATTCTACTATTCCTACCCCCATACCTCCTCCCCTCCCTTTACTCCTCTTTGCCTAATCCAAAGTACCTCTGTTTTTCCCTAGCCCCTCCCCTTAATGTGAATTAGTATCCACATATCAGAGAAAACATTTGGCCTTTGGTTTTGGGGGATTGGCTTACTTCTCTCAGGATTTCTCCAGCTTATTAGTTTATTTTTCCAGCTTCATCC